CCCTAAACCCGCAAACCCTAAGCCCTAAACTCTAAACCGGGTTTCAGGTCGGCGGCTCAGGGCCTTGGAGAGTCAAGCAGGGCTGGCCAGTGGCTCCTAAATACGGATTGTGTTGAGAACAGAAACTGAAACTCTAGACTCTAAACCTAAGCCTTAAACCCTAAACCCTAAACCCTAAACCCTAACCTACTGTCCTGTCGGGCTTGGGGCTACAGGTATGCATAAGGCAGTCAGGTTTGCCTCTTGTGCAGTGAATACATGTCGCCCACATAGTCATTGCTAGGTGTCCCTGCTAGCTAGGATCTCCTCATATACCAACGGTCCATGCCTTTAGTTTCATACTTGTAGGACTTTTGACAGTCCTCAAGCCAAACCCTTAAGTTAATGCTAAACCCTAAACCCTAAACCCCAAACCCTAAACCCGAAACCCTTAACCCTGCTTCGTTTCGTGAATCTTGTGAGGCTGCACCAAAGTCTGCACCCAAGGCTTCACCTAAGGCGGCACCGAAGAAAGCTTCCTCCAAAAAGGCAGGGTGCTGTTTATTTCGGGGTCTAGAGCTTGAGGTCAAGTATTTCGATGTGTTTAGAAACTATTTTGGTTTAGTGCGGCGCTTCGGACAACCGCGTAATGCCCCCCAAACCCTAAGCCCCCTTGTGCGAGGCCTTAACTTTCGCGTATTTAGACTCGAACGTCTTGACGCATCCGAGTGGTTTTCAGTCAGACATGGAGGCCACTGGTAAAACCCCAAACCAGGAGAGGCTATCCCTGTAGAGGGCCTTATCAGTTGGACTAGGGTCCTTCAAGGGTTCTATGAAGGTTTCTACATGAGTTTAGAGGTGTATTGGCGCCGTATGAATTCGAGCAGGGATTCGTTAGGGGTCCTTCAACGGCTCTATGAAGGTTCTATTTGAGTTTGGAGGTATACAGGGACATTGGCTTTCAGGATATACTATACCAGAATAATGACAGTGATAATACGAACAGTAAAACTTAATTACTGACATTATAGCATCGATCAAGAATAAGAACAACACTATAAGACAACAACAATACTAAGGAACCCCACATATCCCTAAGGAATCCTATCCTAGTCACTAGAGCTCCTTGATTCATTTCAATGACCCAGGGCCCAATATCCTGGTCCCCGAAGAGATTCAACAGTACACCTCTTTACAAGGGTCCAAAGGACCCAGTAATCAGGTACTTGGGTTTCGGATAGTAGTTATGTAGGTTACTATTTGGGAGAGTATATGACTATTCGGTACTTGGACACTTAGGGTCTGGTACAGAAGCACGCCAAAATCCCAGCTCTTCAGGTTTGAATACTACAGTACCTATAGTCTCCATTGTAGTTCCTTTTGTTGGTTTAACCCATTATATATCTTTAGGGTATCCCCAAAAAGGAACTACAATGGAGACTATAGTCAAGGATTGCCAATGCCATGCT